GGCTCACCGCAACCTCCGCCTCCTGGGTTCAGGCAATTCTCCTGCCTCAGCCTCCTGAGTAGCTGGAATTACAGGCACGCGCCACCATGCCCAGCTAATGTTTTTGTATTTTTAGTAGAGACGGGGTTTCACCATGTTGACCAGGATGGTCTCAATCTCTTGACCTCGTGATCCACCCACCTCGGCCTCCAAAAGTGCTGGGATTACAGGCTTGAGCCACCGCGCCCGGCAATTTTTTCTATTTTTAATAGAGACAGCATTTCACCATCCTGGCCAGGATGGTCTTGAACTCCTGATCTCATGATCTACCCACCTCAGCCTCCCGAAGTGCTGGGATTATGGTGACAGCCACCATACCTTGCCTCATGCCTTCTTTGACATCCCATTTCTAGCCACAAGGTTAGGAATCATTGATCTCCAGAAGTCAGTGGTCCTAGAGGAAAAAAGGATCTGCCATAGCAGGAGAAGGAAAGGGAGACGGCTGTTCCTATTACTAGAGTTTTAACAACACCTCTAGGTCAGCTAGCCCAGACTGGAATCTCAACTGGGGCTGGGACTTACTTTCAAATATGCTAAATGATGTAACCTTGTATTCATGCTGATCTTAAATATATCTTTGATGAACAGTGCAAGAAAGCAAATGAAGGCAGGGTGCGGTGGCTCACACCTGTAATCCCAGCACTTTGGGAGGCTGAGACGGGTGAATCACCTGAGGTCGGGAGTTTGAGACCAGCCTAACCAACGTGGAGAAATGCCACCTCTACTAAAAATACAAAATTAGCTGGGCGTGGTGGCACATGCCTGTAATCCCAGCTATTCCACTGGCTAGGGCGGAAGAATCACTTGAACCCAACAGGTGGAGATTGTGGTGAGCCAAGATCACACTGTTGCATTCCAGCCTAGGCAACAAGGGTGAAACTCTGTCTCAAAAAAAAAAAAAAATGATCACTTAGAGGATTCTGTTTGGTAGATAAAACCATATTGAGGCCGGGCGCGGTGGCTCAAGCCTGTAATCCCAGCACTTTGGGAGGCCGAAGGGGGTGGATCGCGAGGTCAAGAGATCGAGACCATCCTGGTCAACAAGGTGAAACCCCGTCTCTACTAAAAAATACAAAAATTAGCTGGGCATCGTGGCGCACAGCTGTAGTCCCAACTACTCGTGAGGCTGAGGCAGGAGAATTGCTTGAACCCAGGAGGTGGAGGCTGCGGTGAGCTGAGATCGTGCCATGGCACTCAAATCTGGGTAACAAGAGCGAAACTCCGCCTCAAAAAAAAAAAAAAACTATATTGAAACATAAGGAGGGAAGAAATCCCCTAAGCTTCCTCAGTGGTGAAGAGACTGGGAGCCACCACTCCAGAAATAGAAAATACTAGGCGACCGAAGGGCTGCTACAGGTAGTGAGAATTTCCAAACCCCACCCCCTGGAGGGAATGCTTGGTAACTGGGCCTTAGAGAGGAGAGTTGCTTGTCCAGCCCATTGTCTGTATGCCCAGGAGAGACTGAGAGAAGACCCTAGTGAGGAGAAGCCCCCAGGCCAGCTCGTCAGCACAGGGTTGGAGGCCCCCAACCGGCTCCAAGTTCTGAACAGTCACAGCCTCCAGAGGCCTGTACTGCTCACACCCAGCAGAGCTGTGCACCAGCCCTCGCCATGCAAATCACTCTCCCTGCAGGGTATGTAAAGGACCTCTACCTCTGCTCTCCATGTGGGGACAAATATCCCACAGGACACTGAAAGACTATGGAACGCTGCAGAACATGTATTACCTCACTGTGTCCAACTCGCAGCCTAAGGTGTTTATTGGTGTTGTTTCAACCAGTACACGTGATTCTTTCCGAAGAGGACATCTTGGCACTCCACCACAGACTTGGTATGTGATACTGGCTGAGCCTTTTTTTTTTTTTTTTTTTTTGAGGAGTTTCACCCTTGTTGCCCAGGCTGGAGTGCAGTGGCGCGATCTTGGCTCATCCCAACCTCCGCCTCCTGGGTTCAAGCAATGCTCCTGCCTCAGCCTCCTGAGTAGCTGGGATTATAGGCATGCGCCGCCATGCCCAGCTGGTTTTGTATTTTTGTTAGAGACCAGGTTTCTCCATGTTGGTCAGGCTGGTCTCAAACTCCTGACCTCAGGTGATCTGCCTGCCTCGCCCTCCTAAAACGCTGGGATTACAGGCAGGAGCCACCGTGCCTGGCCTGGCTGAGCACTTTCAAGTCTCATTCCTAACATCTATCAGTTGAGCTGGGATAACAATTATCTGACTGATTTCACAGTTATCTGACTGACTTCACAGAATCCTAAATGAATTGAATTGAATAATACACGTAAATCTTTATAGTGGGAATTTGGGTGGTTTTTTTCTTTGCGTTATGAAAATCCAGGTCAACTTTTCTTCCTTCTCCCAATTGTTTTTATTGCACATCACTATAAAAACAACAAGAAGGCCGGGTGCGGTGGCTCACGCCTGTAATCCCAGTACTTTGGGAGACCGAGGCGGGTGGATCATGAGGTCAAGAGATCGAGACCATCCTGGTCAACACGGTGAAACCCCGTCTCTACTAAAAATACAAAACATTAGCTGGGCATGGTGGTGCGTGCC